ATATTTATTCACCCAAACCATATTTGGTATCAATGTTATACCTAACAGTCATTTCTAAAATTCTGTTTTCAGTTTGCCATACAGTACTGAGTGTAGATTAATGAGGAAAAAAATGAATTTCAACAACTGTAGAATCAGGCTGCAGCATAACAAAATTGACAAAAGTGAAGGGGGTCTGAATACTTTCTGAACACACTATATTTCTTTCAACTCTGCCTCTAATGGTATTACATTACATTCAGTTATAAACCATGTGTTGTTGAATTGAAATGTAGTTTAAATGACTTGAATTTTGTTTTCCTCAGAACACAAAAGATCATAGTGTGGGTGCGAGTACAAACACTGTACCATCTGGAGTTCCTTGTGAGCCTTCTTTGCCAGTTTCTTCTACTCTGCCAGGGACATTTGAACAATCTCCTTCCTCATCTCAATCTCCCTAGTAAGGACCTCATAATACAAAGCTTTCAAAACAATGTTTTGAATGAACGTTTTACATTTTTCATCATCAAAAGTCAAGATGTCATTATGACAATAGCTCTTGAACTTTTCATAAATAACACTGCTTATATAATACCAGCTAGCTATAATTTTTGTCTGAATTGTGCAAAAGCAAATACTAGCTTACAGCTTGATTGTCAATGTTGTGAGAAGTATCTGTCTCCAAGATAGTTAGTTACAATAAAGATATATATTTTGTTCCCATAGTGGTAATCTGCTTTTTGCATATGGATGTAACTGTACAGAAGGTAGAACTGAGGTATTTTCATTATAATCACATCTTCCTTTCTATTACAGTGATCCCAAAGTTATGGACAAACAGCAGAGAGAAACTCAAAATATTAAAATACTTTCTTCTGTTCTTTCTACTGCTTGTAAATCAGTACAAGTCAATGGGGCTTTTGTAGCAGTAAGTGTATTTTGATCTTTATAAGAAGTTGATAAGGACCTTTAGGTTTTCAGCTTTTCATTTTCATTTTTAATTATTTTAGAGGATAGATTTATTGCCACAAAAACACACACTAAACCATCATGTGATGTTTTGTTTTGACTTAGTGTATTATGCAAATCCAGCTGTTGTGATAGTTTCAAAGAAGCCATCATACTTTTCAAATATCTCTCTAACCTCTGAATTCCAGTTGTTTTATAGAGGGAAGGCTTAAAGTATAACCCTTGAAATTATGACATGTTGAATCAAAAAGTTACAATTAAACACCAGCAGCAAAATAGTCAGAATGGCATTTTGGCAGTGAATCCACTGTGTCAAAACCAGATAGGTTAATATCTATCTTCCAAAGCTATTACATGCTGAGAATCTAGAACTAAACCATAATGACCGTTGTTTGGTTATGCCATTGTTTGTTATTCAAATCCAGGCATTTTAATTTGAAAGCCTTGGGGTATGATTCAGTCTGTTGTTTGAATTAAAACAGTTGGGGTTTATTTACCAACCATGACATAGTGCTGTGGTTCATGCAGGTTCATGTCTCATTGTGACTGTTTCAGCCATCATCCTGATATTAGCTCATACAGGTATTCCTTGACTTACGTCCATTTGTTAAGCAACCATTTGAAGTTATAGTGACCAGTCCCCACAGTTATGGACATTGCAGCACCCCCACAGTCACATGATCAAAATTTGGGCATTTGGCAGCCCACTTGCACTTACAACCACAGGGGTACTTCAGCTCACCCACCCACCCACCCATCACCTTTCAGGGCACTTGGCACCCAGCACTCTGTGTTCCCTGCTGCCCTAGCTGACCTTCACGATCTTCTTGCTCCAACTGCTCACTAAACATGGCCAGTCTTTGCGAGGCATCTAATGGCCACACAAGGCTTTCTTCCCAAGGTTGTGTACAGCAATTTTCTGGAGAAGATGGCTTCACATGGTCAACACTTGCCTTGGGAAGGTCTAGGCCGGGCACACCCCATCTGTAACAAGAGGAAGAAGACAGCAAAGGTCAGCTGGGGTGGTTGAGTGCAGGGCAGTGAGGCTGACTGCAACTGCAACTGGCTTGGAACAGCTGTGGGCTTCCTGGCGTGGCTGCAGCTTTGTGCCCACACTGCTGGGCCATGCTGGAGCTGGGCTTTGCGCTGTGCTGTGGCTAAGGGTCTTCTTGTAGCCCTAGACACACAGCATACCAAGAAGCCATTTTGTGGCATGCTGCTGGGCTAGGCTAGGCCGAGGCTTCTATGGGTGGCTGCGGACTCACACTGCAGCTCAGGAGCTTCCTACCCAATTGTAATAAGTTGACGACTACCTGTATGCCTTACATAATTTTCCCAAATAGCTTCCACAGAGACTGAAACTGCAGTGTGATTTTTATCACTGAAAATCTTATGCTCTAATGCCCAGTTCACGATTCCAGTACACAATTGAATGTCTTACTCTATTCATCTTTACATTTCAATTATATAGAACATTTCTTAAGGAGTAATTCTTCATGGAGAATTACAAACCTAAGCATGGCCTTCATATATTATGCAGACCTAATACTCCTGGTGGTGACAAGACTGCTCAGTTTTATTTTTTGTTTTTAATAATGCAGGAGCAACGGAAACCTAGTTATGCAGAAATCTGCCAGAGGATTAGTAAGGATCCACCTCCATTACAGTCCCCAAAAGAACAGAAGCCAAACACTGTTGGTTGTGGGAAAGTGGAAAAGAAGCCCACAGAAACACTAGAAAGAAGCAAAGAATTGCCTCCTATGAAGTCTAAAGACCAGCAGAGATCATCAGGATGCAGGTCACCTCTTCCTCCAGCCATTGGGAAATGTCTAACTAAAGAACAGAATGCCCCTCCAAAATCTCCTCAATGAAACTAATACTTAGGATGAATTTCAAGAAATTTTCACTATGTTGCCACTCAGAATACAAAGAAGGAGTTGCTGGTTAAAAGCTTGCAGGGGGTATGAGGCATATGAAATTCTTGCTAGGCATTTTTCGTTGTTTGTTGTTTCTTTTTGTTTCTTTATAAAATAGATTTTTCCTCTTTCTTGCATCCCCACCATCAAATTCCCCTTGAGCAAACGGTCAACTCTGTCAGGGTTTAATTAATCTAAACCTTACATTTGGTTGGTGCTGAACTTAAGATGATGCTTAAAATCATATTTTCCCCCTTTAGGCAGAAGTTGCATTTATCTAAAATCCATTTTTTATTAAACCTCTTTGAGGCTGTGTGATTACAAGCACTGTCTAACGAGTTTTTTCCTAATTTACTAGGCAGCAAGTGTTTACTAGTGCTGCTATAGTTTTTAAAATAACTGGGCTATAAGTACAAATCTTCAAAAAAAATCCTGAAGACTAATAATAGCAGCTAATGCATAGGGTGTAAAGCAGAACAGATGTTTTATAAAACAGTAAGATAAGTTTAACTTTTTCCTTCTAAAATCCAGCAGCTGTAGCACATCAGTAAAGAGGCTATACTTTTTAAAAGTTTAAAAAATAAAACTGGTTCTAATATTTTAAATTCCAACCATTTTTGTTTTGGCCAAAGGAGAACTTCATAAAGATAATCTGTGAGTGTTCTCTAAACCAGCGGTCACCAACCGGTGGGCCGCGGCCCACTGGTGGGCCGTGAGAAAATTTTGGTGGGCCGCAGAGAAATCTCACCCCCCGAACACCCCCCCCCCAAGCAATTAATCCAGGCTGCACAGAAACACAAGGCTGCGCTGCCCACATGGCCCGCGGGAACCCTCCCCGCCCACTCACTCCTTACCCGACAAACTTGCCTGCTAAATTGCTATTTTTCCTTTTTCTGACCATCAGCTGTTCTGCTGTGCCAGGAGATTTAGATTAGCTAGGAAGCAGGAAATGGTTGGATTTCTTGCTTTCTAGCTAGTCTTTAGATCTTCGGCTCAGCACAGCCGAACCTGCCTTAGGACTGAAGGTTTGCTTGCAAGCAAATTCGGTGCAGACTCACGGCAAGCAAATTTGAGAGACTGAGCTAGCCAATGGCAGATAGATAGATCTCTGAATGAATCTGTGATTCTGTGAGCAACTCAATCTCCCTGCCTGCTTTGCCTGATTTTGGGTAAAAGTTGCTCTTTTTTTATAAAAAAATTCAATATTTATATAAATATTTATAATATTTACATACAAGCCATGCCCAGCCAGTCACATGACCAAGCCACACCCAGAAATTAGGCCACACCCACAGAACAGGTTAGTGGTCCCTGGGATTTAAAATTATGAGTTTGGTGGTCCCTGAGGTCCAAAAGGTTGGCGACCCCTGCTCTGAACTGTTTGTGTTGATAGACTGCAAGCAAGTAACCAGTTTCTCAAGCCACACTAAAATAATCCCTTGAATTTCAGGAAAAGAAAAAAAAGCACATTATGAATTAAATTAAATATGCCCTTGTGTATGACACATGCAAGCTAATGGCTATTTTTCACAAGATACCACAATAGCACTCCTGTGACAAACAAAAACATTTTTTTTCCCTTCCCTCAACTGAGTAAGCTAATTTTGAACCCTTTACTGCAGGGCTGTTGAACTCAATTTCATTGAGGGCATTATGGTTGCCCTCAAAAGGCCAGTTGCATGTAATATCATGTTAGATCAGGAGTGCATTATGACTTAAGTCTCAGTAGGATGCTGTGAGTCTGGATCTTCTGGAGTATAAGGGGGCTGCAGGTCACGTGATGGGGTGGTGATCAGTCTCTCCCAGCAGGTGGGTCACGTGATGGAATGGGATTCAGGTTACTGGTCAGCCCTTCCTCTTTCTCTCTCCTCTCTCTTGCACTTGCCTGTTGGGTTCTCCTTCCACAGCCTCTGCTCCTTTGTTGATTCCTCTGCTTGCCTCCCTTTCACTCAAACTCTTCTCTCTTTCAGGCTTGCCACACAGAAGCCTCTCCTCCCTATCACCTTCTGTCCCTCTCACTCCTCTCCTTTTCCTGCCAAAACCCCCTCCATTTATCTCCTCTCTCCCCGCCTCCTCTTTTTCTCCCGGGTGTGTCACTCTCTGGGGCTCAGGCAGAGCTCTCGCATCAACTGCTGTTCCAGCCTCACCTCCACCACCCATGCAGTCACCCACTGCCCGGCTGGCCTTTGCATGCAGCGCTCATCAGCTGGAGCTGCGTACACTGATTCTGGGGTCTCTGCTGAGCCCCAGCAGCTGCAGCTGACTCCTCTCCCCAAAGCTGTGTGCTGCTGCTGGTGACAGCCAAGGCTGCCAGAAGCACTGATCAGCTGGAGCTGCACACACCGATTCCAGGGCCTCAGCCAAGCCCCAGCAACACTCCAGCTCCAGCTGACTCTCCCCCAGACCTGTGTGGTGCTGCCACCACTCCAACTTACTCCTCCGCTACACACATGACCCAAGTGCCTTCCATCCTTTCTCTTTCCTTCCCTCCCTTTCCTTCCCGCACCAGACACTCACTCTCAGGCAGAGGGCACTGCTGCCACTGACAAGACACCTGAAGAAGCGAGGAGGTAACTACTCAATCACCTCTTCCTACTCCTCCTACTAGTCTGCTTGCGGGGCAGATCTAAACACATCACGGGCTGAATCTGGCCTGTGGGCCTTGAATTTGACATGTCTTCTTTTCTGGTTTAACTGCTGTGCTCTGTATAAGTTTTTAAAACTGCTCTGAGTGCTGACACCTTCTGAAACTACCAACATTGGCATATGGATTTAAATTATTTTAGCCCATGAATTGATGGTGGTTTTGTATGTGTGTGCATGTATGTGGAAGGAAGAGATTGCCCTGTGTCCTGCCTGGGGTGAGATTTGTCACACTTTAGAAGTGACTTGCTTTCTGAAGGCTGCACTTAAATTAACAAGTTTCTAATAAAGATGCTGATGAATTATTTTTCTTTTAAATACCTAAAGTTTTTCCTTTGACTGTTTAAGCAGCAGATGGTTCGGATCAAAAGGTGTTCCTGCTAAATACAGTTTATCCCACATACACACAATCATTTATTTAAACATCTGTGTTTTTTTAAAAAAAAATAATTATTTCCATCCAATCTTTAAAAACGTGAATTTTATTTAAACTTGAAAATGACTTTGCCTTAACTTTTGTATAAGACTACTTAGAATTATTGAAGTCTGACCCTCTTAAGGGTTAGCACGGGGTGGTATATACAGAATTACTTGGTTACAGTATCTATGTATTGTCACTGGTCTTACTGGGTAAACATACTCTAGTAAAGGCAGTTTTTGTAATATATCTTAAATGATCTTAAGCAGTTGATCTTTTCAAAATTTTCAAAAATCTGTAAATGGAAATAGTCAATACTTTATTAAAATGTGCACTTGGAAGTGTGCGCTTTTGCTTGTACAGGTGTAAATAATCACAACTTATAAAAAGGTACCATTAAAATCTGATAAAAAATGATATATTATAAATGTTGCTGTTGAACTGGATGTAGATAAACTAAGTGTTGTGGTTTGAATATTACTTTGATTTGTTTTTCCCTTGTATGTTTTTCTTTACGCTGATGTGATGTGCTGAGCTGAGTCTACCTCTTCACTGCAAAGGGGTATGGAAAGACATCTGTCTTTAAAAGTCCTGACATTTTAAACACTTTCTGGAAGTTTTGCATTTCATTCATGTGGAACAGGGGTATAGTGTAAATTTCAATTCCTAGTAACTGAAATTAGTAGTATTATTTTAGTGAATTAGAAAGAAACAACATTGCCACCAGAAGTTCCCACCCCAAGTACACACAACCTCTCTTAGGCCAACATGTTAGTAAAGCTGGATTTAAATTTCCAGATAGCTACTTTAAAAAAAAAACCCAACCCTAGGGCAGTTGATCTCCTAACATAAGTTGCTGCTATTTACAGTATAATTATCCTTCATCAAAAGAAAAAGGAAGAAACCAGCTTGCTCCTTGCACTGCAGTGTTTAAATTGGCAACTTGAGCCTTGTTTGTTATTTCCTGAGAAGATACACGAGAGAGTCAAAAATCATCTTACTTACCATTTGATGGGGTTTAACATTGGTCTTTTCCCCAATGAGCAGTGAAAGGGGCAGTGAGACAGGAGGTATGATTTAGATCAGCTATGAGTTGTCTTTGTTTGCCTGCTGAGAGCATGAATAAAACAGCTGCAAACAAAGAGGAAAGTGGTGACGACAAGTCATTGGTGCTAGCTGATAATTTGCAGGTCAGTAGATATAAGCTGTATTGTTTTAATGCATTTGCTGATGCTCTTTATACTAGGCTAATACACTAATTCTCACTCAAATAACAGTCTGTGACAAAAGTTTGAAACTTTACTGTGATAGCTTTTTAAAATTATATAAAAGTGTCATGCCAAATAATGTCTCCCATAATTTTTAACATTTTCACATTCAAACAGTTCAGGACTATTCAACAACATAGGCCAGTGGTGGCTAACCTTTTTGGGCTGCTGTGCCAAAGATTGTGCGCACGCTTGCACTCGCGTGCCAGCACCCAGAAGGCAATGCGCGCCCCCCCCTGCCCCCCACGCATGCGTGCATAATCCCCCCCCCCCCCCCCCCCCCCCCTACCTGCACTGCGCCTCACAGCTGGTTTTCGGCCAGTTGAAGGCCTTTTTTGGCCTCCCAAAGGCTTGAGGAAGGCTTCTGCAGGCTTCACAGGCCGAAAACTAGCCCCGTTTTGTCACTTCCGGTATTTTCGGAAAAACAGGAAGTGATGAAACGGGGCTAGTTTTCAGCCTGCAGAAGCCTTCCTCAAGCCTTTGGGAGGCCGAAAATCAGCTGTGAGGCGTGCACATGCCCAGTGAGGTAAGTTTGCTTGCAGCTCACGTGCTGCCACAAATGGCTCTGCGTGCCACCTGTGGCATGCGTGCCATAGGTTCACCATCACGGACATAGGCTATTTATGTTTAGCTGTTCAGTCTCCTAAATTACTGTGTTGCAGGTTAAAAGAGGGCAAACCCATTGGAAATGGTGGACAGGAAGAGGTAGGACTACTTTGGTGCTCCTCATATAGAATTATATAGGTTTTTCTGAGTGTTTATTCAAAGGATGAATTTTGTTTCAGCATATTTAATATATACAGTATTTTTTGCATTAGGGCAGGGGTGTCAAACTCGCAGCATCACGTTACATGATGTATCGTGACTTTCCCCTTCACTAAACCAGGGGTGGGTGTGGCCAGCGCATGACGTATCCAGCCCGTGGGCCGCAAGTTTGACACCCCTGCATTAAGGTTTCCTATCTACCACTACTATGCCTACTCCAGTTTTGCATCTAGCTAGAGAAACCAATAAACCATCAAGTTCACTCTTTTTGTTTCTAATTTTTTCTGCCTCTCCTTTGGAATTTGGACCCATTTTCAAAGACGTGTCAGGTTCCCACTCATCTCTGTATTCCTTTCAACTGCTGCAGTTCTTAGGGGTTACAGGCCTAAATCAGACTGTTATCAGCAGACAATCAAAGGTTACTGCAAGCTGATGGCTGCCAAGTCATTAAAGCAAAGATGTCATAGGGAGGCCATTTTTTTCCTGATGGAGGGTTTTTAATTCTTCCATTTAAGACTGAAATCAAGCTTACATGTGAATTATTTGATA